GAAAGCTTGATTTCTTCCTGATGTGCTTAATGTCAGCGTTCCAAATATCATCCAGAATTGTTCAAGGCATAACTTTCATCAAAGTTCCAATTTAATAAGACAGACATGTTGGTTCATCTGTGGAAACCCAAATCTGAAAGCTTCCTGGGTTTCCATCCAGTTGAATGTTCATGATCCTGTCCCCGCACCCACAAGTCCATCACATGGTCCAATCTTCCTTTGCCCATGCTGGCATTTCCACTCATCTAGTTCCGGTCAGGTGCAGAGGTGTGGAGACAAAGGATGACCTTGGGCTTCTAGAAAGGAATGATTTATTTTGACAACAACACATTTTGCTCCTTACTATTCCCCCTCCCAATTCCCCACTAATGAAACAGCATAGTAAAAAAAGAGTGTGTGTGTGTGTGGCAGGCCAAAGATCGTAAAAGGAATATGACTGCAGACTGGCACTTAGTTTCTAAATGCAAGGTGGTATCTCCGTACCTTTTTTCCTTGAATGAAAACAGTAATGCGATGCCATCTATTGTCTGACATGGAAAAATTTCAGGAATTATTATTTTTTAATTCTTTGAAGCAAGTAGGCTTGCTTAAATTTGAATCGAGAATGCAGGAAGTAAGAGAGAAAATTAAAAATGACAGGTAGTCCTCAACTTTCAACCATTCGTTTAGCGACAGCTCATTACGATGATGTTGGAAAAAGTCCTTGCACTTAAGACCGTCGCATCACTCTCATGGTGACACGGTTGTAACTCAGGTGCTTGGCAACTGGCTCACTTTTACAACCACCTGCAGGGTCTCACGGTCATGTGATTGCAACCTTTGGAATAACCGTTGCACGCTTACGACCACTGTAACAGCCATGTATTTTTTTAATGACCGTTGTAAAAATGGTCATAAAGTCAGGTCCTACTTGACTTACGACTGCAGCAATTTAGGGTAGAAATTCCAGTCCCAATAGTGGTCAAGGACTACCTGTAGAAGATCAAATCTGACTTCTGGCAGTGGATGGAGTACTTTTTCCACCACATTTCATGAACAATGTGGGTTTTCCCCCCCTCCATTTCATATTGTATTTCTCAGCCCAAAACAGAGGCCTTCTCTGATTTGGTAGTTATTCCAGAGGTGGTATTCAGTAGGTTCTGATCAGTTCTGGACAACTGGTAGCAGAAATTTTGGAGAACTGGTAAATACCACATCTGGCTGGCCCCGCCCCCATCTATTCTCTGCCTCCCGAGTCCCAGCTGATGGGAGGGAATGGGGATTTTGCAGTAACCTTCCCCTGCCATGCCCACCAAGCCACACCCACCAAGCCACGCCCACAGAACCAGTAGTAAAAAAAGTTTGAATCCCACCACTGAGTTATTCCCATGGTTTAGGTAGATGGTGAGATGGTCAATCTTGTGGCTCCTAAAGCTTGTGGGTCCTACTTTTTCATGCTACTGAAGAAGATTCCACTTGATACTTTATATGAGGAATAGAATCCAGCAGATAATTTCTCCAAAATATTTCTCCTTAGCTTCATGCATATCATTATATATTTTTTGTGAGGGAACTTTCAGCCATTTCTTTCTGGAATCTAGAGTCTGCCAAGTAACGGTGGCATTATTTCAGTTGCCCTTGATGTGAAGAAGGTTTTAATTCTTTCTCCTGGAGGTCCTTGAGTCATTTTATGGTTTGCTTTCCAATGGTTTGAAAGATGTGGAGACTCTAGAAAGAGTGCAGAGAAGAGCAACAAAGAGGATTAGGGGATTGGAGACTATGAAGAGCGGTTGCAGGAACTGGGTATGTCTAGTTTAATGAAAAGAAGGACTAAGGGAGACGTGATAGCAGTGTTCCAATATCTCAGGGGTTGCCACAAAGAAGAGGGAGTCAAACTATTCTCCAAAGCACCTGAGGGTAGAACAAGAATTAATGGGTGGAAACCAGTGGTGAAATTCAAAAATTTTAACTACCAGTTCTGTGGGCGTGGCGTGGTGGGTGTGGCAGGGGGACAATATTGCAAAAT